AGACAAGATGTCACTATATAACCCTGGGCTGGTCTAGAACTTGCTGTGTAGCCCAGCCTAACCTCAGAATCACAGGGATCCATCTGCCTCACCTTTCTCTGCCTCCCGAGTGCTGGGATTAAAGGAATGTGCCACTGTGCCGGCCCTCTCCGTGATTTTTTTTAAAGAGATTGAGTAACCCCTGTGTTTGGGTGGGAGCTCCACCTCAACCCCTGGCATCCTGGCATCCCTAACACTCAAAGAGTCTGGAATGTTTGGAAGCAGTCTGGTGGAAGATCCACCTCATCTCCTCTCCCCGTATCTTTCCCTAAACCCACCCTTTCAAAGGCGGCCAAACACAGCTCCTCCCCCAGAGAGGCTCAAGACCACTCCCACAGGGGATATAAGCGGCATCCCAGAACACAGACATGTGCTTCTTCCCATCTTGTGTCCCCTTTCCTCTCTGCTCTGCAGGGCCAGGGAATCACCCCAGAGCGAGCGAGCGCTTTACCCACTAAAGCTGGGCTTTCCAATTCAGTCTGATTCGGTTTGCTCCATCAGCGGAGAGGCCTTCAGGAGGCCTAAAACTTACCACCCTGGACTTCAGTCTTTGCCTCCTGAGGGAAAAGCTGGAGGCCAAACGCACAGGAAGAGTTCCTGGCTGCTTGGACAGGGCACCCCCAAAGCTCCCTGTATTGGAATAAATACCAAACACCTCCAGACAGACCACTTCATACAGAGGTTTCTCTGGAGACATGTGCTGAAACATCACAAAATGGAAAACATAAGCATCTGCCTTCTATAGCTCCGCACTGAGAAAAATCAAATTCCTGCAAGGAGAAAGTGCTCCTACCAAAACGTTAAGATGAGCCGTGCCTGAGAGGGATGGGGAAATTCTGGAACTCAGCATGTGGAGACCAAGGCAAGAGAATGAGGGGATCCACAATCAAATAAGCAAATAGATAACTCCGCAAAGTGGTGGTTGGTACAGTGCTGGCCTAGCGGGTACAAATGAACAATGTCCCGAGTAGGATGGACAGCACTACAAAGGAAAAATGAAAAACAAACCAAAAATGCCCTTAAAACACAGAGCTCCCCCAGGCTGACAAGGGTCTCACATCTGCATCGACAGCTCAAGCCCTCCTCCAGGAAGCCTTCTCTGGTGAGCCCCAAATGCGGATCTTCTCCATGTAGTCTACTGTACACTGCTCTGCAATTGCTCTCTCACACTAAGCCTCCATGTTTAGCCCCTCAACAGCCAGAAAGCTTGACTCCATTCTCCAATCCTCTCTTGCTGGCTGCCCTACCCCATCCTAAAGTCTACAGCAGAGCACTCTGCACAGAGACGTGGACCACGGGTAAGCTTGAACCATGAAGAGGCTACGATGTGTGTCCTTCTTCATGGCGACATACCAATCTGCTATATCAGCTAAGTTCACTAGGCCACGGCCAAGAAAAGCGATGGTCCAGATAGCTTCAAGAAAAGAGAAATAGTTATCTGGATCTGCCTGAATATGTAGGGAATAAAATAGGGTTTGTTCAAGGCTAGCCCGATGAACATAACAAGTTCCAAGTTTCAAGTGAGCCAGAGATACATGGTGGGACTGTCTAAAAAAAAATTATAATGATGTTTATAATGGTGATTTCAGGCCTGTTGAGACAAAAGTAGATTTGTCATTTTCTTTTAGAAAAATATTCACAGAAGCCATCTTCTTTTCAACATACTAATAACTTTTTACTGCAGTATAATAATCATTTTACAGTGTTTCCCTCCATTATCTGAGTTGAGTTTCACACTGGCCCTAGGACACAGGGTACATCCAATTATCCCCAACAATATAGATAAAGGAACCAGGGCTCAGGAAGAGCATCAAAGCCAAGTGAGCCTGACTCCCCGGGTCCAAGGTCACTAGCGCTCCTTCACCTCTCTCTGCCTTTTCAATTATTTAACTGTTTTCAGTGTGGCTCCTGAAAAGTATGAAATATTGAAAGCAGGATTTCTGGGACATTTTAGAAGCTGTGCTCTGTTCATACCTAGAGGTCTGGGACATCATCATCTATTCACCGAATCTCACAGGCTTGGGACAGGTTCGCAGCCTGGTCATTAGGGACTATGACACCAAAGTCACAGATCACGGTTGGGACCGATTTATCTCTGTGTCAGGGCATTCCTCTCTGCCTTTCCAGCTCTCATCTTGATGCATTTCCTTTCAGAAACTCAAATCCCTACCACCAGCTGACAGAAAATAACAATGACCGAATCCTGAAACCAGCCAGCTGGACACACTGGCTGGGGGTTACTTGGGAACAACTTCTCAAAGCCAAGGGCAGAGCCTGCTCAGAGATGATGCAGACACACCCACTCACGGTGCCTTCCTTGCCCGTGAACAGCGTGTACGCCCTACCCTGCTCTCTCTGAACGTAAAGTAATTTTCAGTGAAGAGCAAGCCAGAGAACAGCATGCTCTCGCATGCTCGTCCTTCACAAACAAAAGCGATCGTTAAGGACATGCACTTTGAGGGATTTTTTTTTCAATGTAACTATATTTTCCTTTACCCAACAAGAGATCAATTCAAAAAGAAAAAGAAAAAAAAACCAATCGAATATTTATAAAGAGAATCACAACCCCTCCCCAGAAATAGTATTCTTTTTTTCTTAAGATACAGTTCTGGCTGCCTGGAACTCCTCATATAGACCAGGCTGGCCATGAACTTGGAGCAAACCTCCTGCCCCGGTCTCCTGAGTACAGGATTACAGGCACAGATTGCCAACACTGGCAGAAGAAACAGGATTCATGGTTTGTTGGGGTTGGGGGGGGGGCACGTTTGTTTCTTTTTAAGATAGCTTGAACCCACTACAAAGTGAGGGCCAACTGAGATGACCTTGAACTTCTGATCCTCCTGCTTCAGACCCACACCCCATGCTCAGTTTATGCTGAAGATAGACCCCAGGGCTCTGTGTGTGCTAGGCAGGTACTCTCAACTGAGCTACATCTTCGGCCCCAAATACAATTTTTAGACTGCTTGGCCACACTGCCACTGAAATGCAATTTGCACCTAATCATGGGTCCAGTTCTCACTTAACAATGATATTTCTCCCTCTACCCCAAAAATTAGGCAAGGGGTCTATTAATGAAAATGTAAAAACACGGGGAAGTTAGGAACGTTACTGGTCTTGCAGAGGACCCAAGTTTGGCTCCCAGCACCAACATGGTGGCTCACAACAGCTTGTATCTAAAGTTCCGGGGAGTGTGGTGCCCTCTTGTGGTTTCTCAGGCACCTGCATGCACATAGCACAGACACAGACTCACAGACACATGAATAAAAATAAAAACAAATTCTTTAAAAAAAAAAAATGTAATGCACTAAACTTGCCCCACTTTTAAGGAAATCTGTTATGGATCCTTCTTCCAGTTTCTGTGGGTTTTTTTTTTTGTTGTTGTTGTTGTTGTTGCTTGTTTTTTAACATTCTCAACCATTTTTCCCCCAGCCTAGCACATATGCGATAGGTTTGTATGGGACCTGGACATACACAATTGCTGAGGTTGTGACACTTTCCTGACTTCCACCTTGCAAGGAAGCTCAGCCACTCCTGGCTCGAATCCTGCTCTCATCCGCATATGACACTAAGCTGAGTCACTGCTGTAGGAGATCTAAGACTGGCTTCCCAGTGGCTGTCTACATAACACAGAGGCAGACCTTAACTCAAGACAGTGAAGGCCACACGGACAGATAACTTTCCTGGGCCTAGACTTTCAAGTGTCTTAATTGTGGCTCTTGAAACGGTCCACAAGTATGGCACCGACAGCCAAAAAGGATAGACCAAATTTGGTCAATGATCTGGGCAGATTTCCATGCTGGCTCCCATACTACAAATGCTGAAAGTTTAGCCAGGCTGGCTTTTGTAGGCCTTTCATCCTGGCTCATGAAAAGCTGGTCCAGGAGAACAGCAAGTTAAAAGCCAACCTGCACAGCAAAATGAGTTCAGGGCAAGTCTGGACAACTTGGTGAGACCCTATCTCAAAATAAAAAGCAATGCAGGGAATAACGGCTCCATCGTCAAAGCCCTGCCCGACATGTGCAATATCAGACCTTGAGTTCAAGTCTGAGTTCTTCAATCAATGAAAATAGTAATAATAATAATAATAATAACTGCCAAGTCTCAAGGCCTTGACTAAGGGAACTGGCAGCCTCAAGGTTTCAAAGTCATTAGCAGGGCATCCTCATCAGCTTGATAAACAGTGCAGGGTCGGAGCACTGTTTGCACTTGCTGGTTAGGGTGGACTGTGGCATAACTGAATTCAGCTAGAGAAGCCAGGGAATCCTGTCCAAAAACACGCTAAAATACGTCAGCAGAGAATACCTCTAAACAAAGCCAACATTGGCTAGTTTAATCAGAGTACTGAATCTTACAGTAAGTCATTTGATACAAAGCCTGGCTTAGCCAGGGAATCTCGAAGCCCTGCCCTGCCAATCAACGAAATGAAGCAGTGCATAGACAAGTTTGGATACATGAAAATATATCAGTATATATGTATGCCGAAGCTCTGTCACTCGAATCGGAGCACCTAGCTAGGTAGCTTCTCAGTGGGAGCCTAAGCGCGCAGCCCGGTGGATGGATCTTAAGCAAGCAGACCCACAGGATGCTTTTCTGGAGCCACTGGCACTCGGCCCCACCCCCATCCCCAGAAAAGTCCTGACTCGCTCAGCTGCACTTTTCCAGGTGCAGGGTCGGGGAGCCAAGGGGTCGGGGGCATAGCCTGGAGGCGCGCCAGGGAAAGGGGAGACCAGGGACCCGAGACAGGTCCCCAGAAGGGTGCAGAGTTCGGTTGCAGGACCCAGGCGACAGTCCTCGCTGAATTCGGGAATGACCGCCCCCGCATGGGGCACCGGCTCCCTCTCGGTCTTTCCAGAAGCAAAGGAAACGCTCCAGTCTGGAAAATGGGGTTGGGGCAAGGGACCCGTGCGCCCCCCGCTGCGGCCGCCTCTCCCGCGGGACCCACGCCCCGCCGCCCCGCTTACCTCGCCCCGCGCCCCCGCTGGTGGCCGTGGAGTTCCCGCAACCCATCGCGCCGCCCGCCCGCGGGGAAGCCGCGCTCCGGACCTCACCGCCGCCGCAGGTCCCGGAGGCGGAGACCCAGACGGAGGAGGCGCCGGGAACCAGGGACAGCCCTAGCCCCGCCCCGCGCGGGGACCCCCACGGACCCACCCGTCACCGCGGCAACCGCCGTGTTCACCAATCCGCAGCCTCCTGCGCGCTCCTCGGCCGGGCATTGGTGGTGGCTCAGAGGGGGCGGGAGTTTAAAGTGGGGTTTGGGGTACCAGGTCGAGGCCGAGGGCGTGGTCCGCAGCAGGATCACTAAGCCTGGGATGCTCACCAGCCTGCCCTCCCTCCGCTGCGCCTTCCCCTTTCTTTCCTCCCCTCCCCTCTCTGTCCCCAGGATGTGTAGAGGAGAGGGCGTGACAGGGAACATCTGCTTTGAGCATTGTGGATGCCTGTCTAGTAAGGCTAAGGTTGACAGACTAAACGGTGTTCAAATCTGAAGACGGAAACCCGAACCTTTCCTGCTTTCCAAGAAAGCAGAGACAGCTCCGTCCCCACAACCTCATCCCCTAGAAAACCCACTTCCCCCACCCCCAGGTTGGTCAGACCCACGTCTTCCTCAAAATCAGTGTCTCCCAGACCTGAAACTAGAGGCTCACCCGGCTTTCTGATTTAAGGCAGAGCTGCGAATGTCCATGGTCCCGTTCAACCTAACTGTTGGGCACGTGCAACTGGGATCACAGCCCCTGACAGCTGTGTGGCTTCAGGAGTGGTAGAATCACAGATGTGTGTAAACTACTGGCTCAACGCCTGTGCCCGGTCATTGTCAGCTGCTATTATGGATCCCGGACTATTGAACAGGAATACAAATTCCTTAAAGATGAGGATCCTCCGTTTCTTACTGTCCGCCTGGCTCACAGTGCAGAATCAATAACCCCATTGAGAGGTGAACTCAAGCCAGGAAATAATGCTCCATTTTAAACTCGCTTGGTATTTATAGAGAGCCCAGGATGTGCCAAGTTCTTTGCTAAGTTCTGGGGTTACAAACACAAGGGAGACAGTCTCCTCAGAGGGACGAGTATAAACAGATTAGCTACATTGCAACGGGGACACCAACAGAGTGATTCAGGGAGGGAAGGCTTAACACTATAATATATGTGCGTCACTTAAAGTTGCACCATGATGTAGATGTCTGGGGGAAACACATAGACCAGAAGCTCCGATGGACTTCTGAACACGGTCTTTGTGATACCAGGCCTTGGGAACCCTATTATTCAGGATACGAAAAATGCTTCCACCTCCATTTGAAACTTAGGCATCTGTGACCTTGGGGTGAGATGCTGTTTATTCTTGGACAAAATGGGGGCACTTTTTGGTTGGCTTCTGGAAGAAAGCTATGTATTACTTTTCTTTTCTAGTCATTGTGATAAAACGCTTGACAAGCAGCGACTTAAGAAGCCAAAGTTTTATTCTGACTGATGGTTAGATGGGAATAGAGTCCATTTTGGTGGGGAAGGGTTGGTGGTAAGAGCACATGAGATTCTTGCAAGCCTTAGGAACAACAGCCTTTCTCAGCCAGTGGGGCTTGACCCAGGGGCTTAAGGTACCAGACACTTAACATCACCAAATGTCCACCTGAGGCAGCGAGCCCAGGGTCATTGTCTTATGCCAATAAAGATTACAGATGCAGACACTTGAAGGAGTAAGAAGGTAAACGTCATTAAGAGATACACAGAACAGTAAGAGATAAAGAGAAAACGAGGCAGGCTCCCAAGATACGTTCAGTAAAAAGGGCCAGTACAGCTCTCAGCATTGCCCTGCGGATGTCCTAAAATGCACATCCTTCCAAGGTCCCTCTGCCCTCACAGCTACCAAGAAGTGGCAGCAGTGTCTGTTTCCTGTCTACCAGATAGATAGTCTGGTGTCTCGTGGAAGCTATCTAACCAGATTACCAAGGCTGGTCTTGTTCCTCGTGGCTTGTCTGCCTGAGTCTTATCAAGTCCTCCTGACTGTTCTAGCTACCCGTGTCTCTGTCTCTCGCACTCGGTGTTCCTGGCTTCACTGTTGCAAACCTCGCATTCCATTTGAACTCTAACATCCATTCCCACTGTAACATACGTCACTTGGAGTTGCACTATGAGCCCTCTTCCCTTTGGCCTGCTGTGAACTAAACTGCTGCCTCGGGTGGCTGGTCTCACTGGGTCAGCAGAGAGCAGACAGGAAAAGAGGCTGGGCTGTAAGATAACCTCAGGGCCTGCACCCTATGACCCACTTCCTCCAGCAAGTCTCCGCCTCTTAAAGGTCCCACAGCCTTCCAAAGTAACACCCCACCTGAGACTGAACCACAGCGTACTGGTTTCCTCCTTGGCCTCCGCTGTCTGGGTTCCGTGACCACCCTTGAATAAATCCTACATTAGAAGGGTGGGACCACACCAGCGAGCCAGAGGAATGGCTGTTCCTTAGTTCTACGGTCTCTGACACTGGGCTTCATTCCGGAGACACCTGTGAGAACAGTGAAAGCAGACCAGGAGATCCAGAAACTGGCCCAACACCCCCAGCTAGTCCTCTGCAGTATCCACTCAGTGTGGTGGCACAGCAATACCACCCAGGCTATAACTGAAGATGAGAAATACAAACCACAACCTTGCAGTAATCTTGCCTAGGTACTGCCAATGAGTCACTGCATGATCAGAGAGCATGCCCTGTCCTGGCAGTATGAGCGGCTGCTGCCACCTTACCAACTGCTGAGAGTTTGTTTCTAGGTCTAGTCTTCCTGACCTACTTAGGAGGTGTATTCAGAACATCCATGGGATTGTTCCTGCTTCCTGACAATATCCAACCCAGAAAAAATAAAATAAAATTCTGCTTCCTAAATCCCAGCAAAATGACTGTTAAAAGGCTTAGGAGCAACAGAAACCTAAAGTTCTAGTGAGTTCCTGTAAACTCTTGCCTCACAACCTCTTATGGATGGCTCTCCATGCAGCTAGTGTGTGTGTGTGTGTGTGTGTGTGTGTGTGTGTGTGTGTGTGTGTGTG